ATTCTTTTTGATTTGTATTGTTAGCCGCCCGGAGTCCCATGGGATTGGGCGGCATACAAATGCTATTAAGCTTTGAAACTTTGAAATTTTAAAGTCTGTGCTGCTACACTGTTTAAATGCACACTCGTTAACCGGGTTCTGGGTATTGTGTGAACCCAGCTCCAGGAGCCCTTGAACTAGTACTGCTTCAGACAAGACAAAATTATGTTTTTCAAGTGGTTCACTAAGTGATAAGTAGCATTCAACTGGATCCGTGTGGGATTTTCATTCACTCTATTGTTGAGAAGCCACATGGTGGTGTAATGGTTAAAATGCTTAATTAGGAGCAGAAAGACACTACATAACCCACAGCTTTGGAACTGTAACAAATAGAATAGAATAGAACAACAGAATTGGAAGGGACCTTGGAGGTCTTCTAGTCCAACCCCCTGCCTAGGCAGGAACCCTACACCACTTCAGACAAATGGCCATCCAACATCTTCTTAAAATCTTCCAGTGTTGGAGCATTTGCAACTTCTGGAGGCAAGTTATTCCACTGGTTAACTATTCCAACTTTCAGGAAATTTCTCCTCAGTTCTTCTCTCCTTGATTAGCTTCCACCCATTGCTTCTTGTTCTGCCCTCAGATGCTTTGGAGAATAGTTTGACTCCCTCTTCTTTGTGGCAACCCCTGAGATATCGGAATACTGCTATGTCTCCCCTAGTCAAATGACTTGTTCCAATCACTCTTTCTTTGCCCACCTACCCCAAAAAGTTTGGGGGGGGAGGTCAAAACAAAAAGAATCGAGCTGCTTTACAACTTCCCCTTGGTCCTGATTGGACGAAGCCGTGCAAAAGACGTACCTGTCTGAAAGTCGCCTCTGAAACACCAATCCCAAGCAGCCGCCACATACTTCCCACCACAGGAAGTGGAAAAGGTCCTGGCGGGTAGCGTTTGAGTGACCAGATCTGTTTCAGATAGGAAAGAATCTGCCGTGGAATCCAAAGGATCAGAAGAAACAGTGGCTTCAACATCCTCCTGCCTTCTCACTCTCCAGCCCTATTATCCGTTGCAGGACTTGTGCCTACAGACTCTTTTCTCTCTGCAGAGACGCTTGTTGTTTTTATGTCTCTGCTACCACACCCTTCTATAATCGCTCCTACTTAAATTCTTTTTGAGTTCAGGACCAGACTGTTTAGGACTGCGATGATCCATGGAAGTTTAAGCTCTTGTTTTAAATAACTTATGCGGCTCTTTATTTACCCCTGCCTGCTATCAACTTCTAAATTTGCCTTTAGAGCAATAGCTCTTAGACTTGCATACTGCTTCACGGTGCTTTATAGCCCTCTCTAACCCCTTAACAGGGTCAGCCTATTTCCCCCAACAATCTGGCTCCTCATTTTACCCACCTTGGAAGGATGGAAAGCTGAGTCAACCTTGAGCCTGATGAGATTCAAACTGCTGGCAGCCGGCAGTCAGCAGAAGTAGCTGCTTGGGTGTTCTAGCCACTGTGCCACCACAGCTCTTTACATTTAAAAACTCATAAAACTGTTTTTTTCATTCTCAATGTTGAGATTAAGATATGTCTGTGGGTCAGCAGTAGTAGTCCTTTCCATGACTTTTTTTCTTGTTTTTTTTTACATGTTGAAAGAAGTTTTCTTTGTTATTTTTGACTTTTGTAGCAAGCCTTAGTTCAATTTGGGGCTTAGCAGTCTCCATTTCATTTTTGCAGACTCGGGCTAATTGCTGTTATTATGCCCTAGATATGTGCATTGAGACATCTGCAGAACTGTATATTGGTGAAACAAAACAACCAGTTCATTAATTTCACGGCACAACATAGGAGAACAAGCTCATCAAGACTAGATTCAGCAGTCCATCTACATTTATGACAAATGCCACTTTTCTGAACACAGCAAAGTCCACATTTTGGACAGAGAGAACCGCTGGTTTGAAAGAAAGGTCAAAGAGGCCATCTATGTCAAATTGAACAGCCCTCTCTCAGCAGAGGCGGGGGATATAACATCATCCATCTCCAATCTACAACACAGTCCTTTCAGCAGTTCCAAGAAGGATCCACACGCATTTGCACCACTCAGGTGACCCTGAGGACACAGATCAATCTCCAAGTGGCCTCTGTTACTCTCTAAAATAATGTAAATGGCCAGCAGTCTGCAAGGAGTATAAATCCTTCCATTCCCCACCATCCATTCAGACCTGAAGAAGCTTCCTGGATGAGAAGCAAAACATCTTCAAAGAAAAACCAGAAAGTCCAGTTGCCTCTTGAAAAAGCACCTTCAGGACAATTAGTTCTGGGTTGCTTCTCTCCTTGGTTAGTTTCCATCCATTGCTTCTTGTCTTGCCTTCGGATGATCTGGAGAATAGGATACCTCCCTTTTAGGCTAAGGCAGCCTCTTAGATATTGGAACACTGCTATCATGTCTCCCCTAATCCTTATTTTCATTAGACTGGACATACCCAATTCCTGTAACCATTCCTCGTATGTTTTAGCCTCCAGTTCTCTGATCATTCCACCCAGTGGTGGGTTTCAAAAATTGTTCGAACCTACTCTGTGGGTGTGGCCTCCTTTGTGGGAGTGGCTTGCCACCCATGTGACAGGATGGGAGTGGCTTGCCGCCCATATGACCGGATATGAAGATGCCGACGACACTTGTCAGAACCACCTTAAATTACCTCACACACAGCACTGGCATGCATAAGAATAGGATGTAAACTTGTTTTTTAAAAGGCATCTTTGGTTTGCGTTAAAACAACTTCAACACCCGCAATGTTCTGATTGCACCACAAACACAGCAGTCATCCTTACCTTTCACAGAGGCGCTGAGTTTTATAAATATGAGCATGATAGTGTAGAATAATCATATCCAAGGACCAGTGGTGGGTTTCAAAAAATTTCGGAACCTCTTCTATAGGTGTGGCCTGCTTTCCGGGTCCACTGGTGGAACCTCTTCTAACCGGTTCGGTAGATTTGACGAACCGGTTCTACCGAATAGGTGCGAACTGGTAGGAACCCACCTCTGATTCCACCTCATGCAACCTACAAGCTCCTGGCTCCACTCTTCTTCCTATTTTTTCCTGAGGACCCCATTTTTTCTGATTATTGTACATTTCTGTCTTTCTCCAAAAATCCTGCACAAAGAGGTGAGGGAAGCCACCCCTGCTAGAAGAATGAAATATTTTGGGAAATATTAAAAAGGCAGGGTAAAATATTTCCCCTAGAAGAGAAATTCAAATCCTAAGGGAGACAGAAACTCTGAGCTCCAGCAGATATTTGGTGCCCATTAAGAAAAACTGGGCCAGCCTATCAACAAGACAAAAGGCCTCCAGCCTCAGGGTGATGGGATGAGCCCTCACTCAAGATCCAAACCAGGCCAAAGCCATTAAGACACGATAGCAGTTGCCCAACACCCTTTCAGAGTACAAGCTCCTTCGTTGCAGCACCACCCAGCAAGCTTCAACAAGCCGGGGAGCTCAGACAACTTCAGCTATGATCCTTATATAGTCCCATGAGGTCTGACAGCAGCCAATAAAATACATGTGTCAGGGTTCCAAATAGCATCCAAAATTAAATCAGAGTCCGAGGCAAAGGATTGCTCAAAGTTCCAATTTATTAAGAGAACCATGTTGGCACATCTGGGAAAACCTGAATCTGAAAGCTTCCCAGTTTTCCCCACCCAGTTGAAAGTTCACGATCTTGCCCCCACACCAGGGGTGGGGGAGGCAAGAGGTGCCCTTCTTTGTTCTTTTGCAACAGCACTGCCGCTACCGCCACATCAATGGCATCTGTCTGGATTATGAATTGCTGTTCTGGGTCAGGGTGTTGCAGTATTGGCTCTTGGACAAAGAGTCGTTTTAATTTCTCAAATGCTTTTTGACAGTCCATTGTCCACCCAATAGGTTGGTTTGCCTTTGGCTTTGTTGGGGAAGGCCCTGTTTTTAACAGTTGAGTCAACGGCAGGGCAACTTCTGCAAAAGCCAAGATGAATTGCCTATAGAAGTTGGCAAATCCAAGAAAGCTTTGTAGCTGTTTGCAGGTGCTTCCGGGTTTCCAGTCTAACACAGCTTTCACTTTCCCTGGATCCATCTCTATCCCCTCACTGGAGATGTGATCGCCAAGGTAGTCTAGTGAGGTTTTGTGGAATTCACACTTTGATAATTTTGTGTACAACTTGGCAGCTAGACGTTTTTCCAGGACCTGTCATACCAGCTTCACGTGCTCTGCTAGGGTCTCAGAAAAAAATGAGGATGTTATCAAGGTAAACGAGTACCCCTCAGTATAGGTGCTCATGTAGTACCTCATTTATGTATTACATGAAGACTGCAGGGGCCCCTTGTAGCCCAGATGGCATAACTTTGAATTGGAAACTGCTAAAGGGGCAGTTAAAGATGGTCTTCCATTCATCTCCCTCCCTGATACATATGTGGTAATACGCCTCTCTCAAGTCCAGTTAGGTGAACACCTTGCCTTTAGCCAAGTGATTCAACATATCCTTCATGAGGGGGAGGGGATAGGTGTTCTTTACGCAGAGGGCATTTATCCCTCGCAGGTCAATACATAGCTTCACTCCGCCATCTTTCTTCTCTTTGAAGAGCACAGGGGCTACTATTTCTGACTTAGCTGGTTCAATAAAGCCCCGCTTCAAATTGATGTCAATGTACTTCCTTAATTCTACCATCTCTTTAGGAGTCATGGAGTACATTTTCGGCTTCAGTGACATAATCAAACTCTATCTCACAATCAGTGGGCCAATGAGGGAGGAGATAGTTATAATCTTCCTCACTGAAAACCCCTGCCAGGTCCCAGTACTCTTTTGGCACTTGCTGGATGCCTGAGGGTTTTGTCTGCTGCGGGGGCTGCAGGCTCTGGCCTGTCTGCTTTATTGGGTTCGATAGCCTCAGGGCGGCCCCTGGCTTCACAAGTGGTAGTGGCCCAAAGCTTATGATCAATTTTTGAATGCCATTGTCAGCCTCTGCTTTGTTGCTGCTTCGGCTGCCATTGAAACGGGGAGGGGGGGCATGGTATTTGGGAGGGGTTACTAATTGTGCTGGAGGAAGATTCTGGAGTTCTGTTGCCTGTCGGACTACGCATGCGGAGGAGATTCCCGCCAAGGCTAACGGCACCGACATTCCATCTTGGTGATGCCTTTCGAAGTTATCTCACACCTGACACTTAGGAGAATTATGATTGGACTGTAACTGAGATGCCAAGGGGTGGGGAATGGGTTATTTTATATATCAATCGCTTTCGCACCTAAATAATCAGTCTTCGCTTTGCTACGCTTCTAATCATTTATAATTAGTAAAAGTACACTTGATTTCTACCTATGGAGTCTCGTGGTCTTCTTTCCTAATTACTCAATGAAGAGGTGCTGACAGCCGTCCTCCCATTTTCTGGTAGGTGTCCACTTATCCAGCCACGCAAGCCCCAAGGTAATTGATAGATGCAGTTTTGGAGATACGATGAATATGAGGAGTTCATAATGGTGCCCTATCTGCAGCTTCACCAAGTTGGTAATTAGTTTGGCAGGAGCCCCTCCAATTAGTGTCCCATCCACTTGCTCAAACCGGATGGGATTGGTTAGGGGGTCTTGTGCATATCCTTGCTGCTCCACGATAGACATGCTGATTAAGCATCAGGTGCAGCCTGTATCCACGATCGCCTCAACTTCCCCTTCTATCCCCATCTTGGGCACTATAGAGTTTGGCTTTGATGGCAAAGGAGCAGATGGGTGAGCTTACCATTGGGTCATCATCTCCACTGCTTCCTTCATCCGGGCTTGGCAAGGGCCCTTCGGCTGGGCCTCCACTGATTCCTGGGGAAAGGGTTTGCCTCTCTGAGGCTTGTCTGGCAAATTTAGCTGCTTGTCTTTCCTCAGGCAGCTTCATTTGCCTCTCTGCTGGCTGAGGTTCCTGGAGGAGCTGTCCCTTCAGCACTTTTCCATGTCTTGCTATTGGCAGGGAAGCATCT